TAGTTGTATAGTTGCTTCCTTTTATTTACTTCGTTGTTCATTACTAAGGGATTAGCAATATCTAAGTTTGGGGGTGTGATAAGTGCTGAAATATGCATATTTTAGCCTTTATTCTTATGATTGTTAGCACTTTAGCCCTATATTTATTCATTGCTTAGTACTTATTTGTGTTATTATCAATTTCAAGTTGTTGCACCAGAAAAGGGTTTATTCTAGTACATTAAAATCTTTTTGGAGTCAAGCAAAATACAGCGAAGGAATAAAGCTCTGGAAATAGCCAAAGTGAGAAATCACGATCGATCCTGTAAATCAATTCTGGTCAAGTCACGAACAGTTATAACTGGCATGGATCACAATCGATCCTGGTAAATATACAATTGATCGTTGGAATTCATGATCAATTGTGCATCGGGAAGAATCATTTTAGCGCTCGTTTCGAGCCCTAATTTCGAGACGCCAGGGTTTACGAGATTGCCTGACTTGAATATACGGGTCTGACTCATTTTAACCTCCAAGAGTCATCTATAAATACATAATTGAACCATTTTTATAAAGATTGGACATTGGGAATTGAAAAGCTAAGGAGAAATTCTAGATCTACTCTCTCTTTCTAGGGTTTCTACTAAGGAAGAAGAAGATGATGATGAACCCAAGCTTGGAGATGGATTGTGAGACCACCATGATGACATCTACCTTCTCTATGAGTGGCTAGTTCTTCACTTAAGGCTTGGATGAGCCCTAAGCTTGTGTAATTAAACTTTTGTCTTTCAATTTTGGGGATTATGTATTGTACTTAGTGCTTGGCCTTATGAATTCAAACTTGGTTGTACCAAGTTTATATTGATAATTCTTTCCATTGATTCTTTATATTGGTTGCATGTTGTCTTATGTGTGATTAATTGAGGGTTAATCTCTACATTGAATGCTCTTTGTAATTGTGCTCAGTGATAGCCACGCATGATTCTTATTGAATACAATTGCTAGTAGTTTGATGGATTATGCTTAGTCTTGATGGGTTGTACTGCACCTTAGAGTAATTGTAGTTAGGTAGATAATTCATACTTGATTTTGATAGTTCATGCTTATTCATTACAATTTGTAATATCTTCTTGATTATTGATGTGTATTTGTAGTCACATTTTCATTACAAAGTATTCTCCCCATTAATTGAAGGCATTTGAATTAGTTGCTTGAGTTTAGTGGTGTATTCCATACCCTAAGCGTCTCTCCTTATCACTTAACCCAAGTTTACTTTAGTTTTATTTCATTTGCATGCTCTACATAGTTAAATCACCATTAGCATAATCAACTAACAATCATCTTTTCAATTTCACACTCATTGATGTCAAGTTAAACTCCAAGCTAATAATCCCTATGGACGATCCATTCTCACTATATTAATGTATAAGTGTTTAAGTGGTTTTATAAATATAAAAGTTGATGCACATTTAACACATACAAAATATCTACATTTTTTTAGGAACACTCAAGAGAGCATCATCCATATTTGATGTTTTCGTTGAATGTGTTCCACAAAACGCATTGGCAGAGTTTGTTTCTTGATTTGATGCTTTAATCAATGTGTTCTATTTTGAAAGTACTATTTTACCATTTTCTTTTAATTAGAACGATCGGGTGCTATGCACCTCCGATCGTGATGAACCTTAGGTGTATCCCTAGATTTTTGGACATTCTAAAAATGATAGCAATGTCGGATTTACAATCCGACGGTCAGATTTTATTGGAGACCAACCGGAGAGTGGGGCAAAATGCAGTGTCTACGCATAACTATATGAATTATGAACAAATAAAAAAATGTTAACATTGTTTGTCATATACCCAATCAATCCCCTTAGCTCAATTATTGGGAAACACACAATCAATGATAGAGAAGAGTTTGAGTACAATGTAGAGAATCCCTGGAGGGATATAAGATATACAAATCTAAACTCACAACTCTAGAGTACTTGATGAAGCAAGTTATAAAAGCTCAACACTAGACCAAAATATTTGAAAGCTTAAATGATCTTCAAGAGAATGTTCAAATATACTAAAGCTTTTTTATGAATGAGCAAGGAAACTTGTATTTATAACCATTTAAGGAACCATAACCTTTTCGCCATTTAATGCACATGTGGAGGAAATCTTAATTAAAAGGGATTATTACATATAAATGGCGCTAATGACTTATATTCACCATTTGATAGAGTCAAAGTCTCATAGTTTCAATGAAATGAAAATATGAAAAAATATTATTTACCCTCACTGAGGTACCCACTTTTAGGTACATAGGTACCACTTTTTGTTCATGCATGTACCGACCACTTTTGTACCTGATGCATAAAAAAAAGTACCTATGTGCACAAAAAGTGGTACCTATGTTATAAAAGTAGTACCTCTATGCTCAAAACAAAAGTGGTACTTGATGCACAAAAAATGGTACCTCCGTGCACAAAAAGTGGTACCTGTGTGTCTAAAAGTGCTACTTTAGTGAGGCTAAATAGTTTTTTTCCACGTCCACGTCAGCATTTTGGTCAACTTCATTTTTATGAAACTTTGAGACTTTGACTTCATTAAATGGTAAAATATAGGTCATTAGCTAATTAAAAAGCAACTTTAAATTTTCGCATCAGGGTGTAGTATAACCCTAGCTGAAAGTTGGAGGACATATTTACAATAATTAATATTTGAGAGGTGTATTTTGCAGCAAGTCAAGAGTGTTTAGTTTACTCTTGCCTTAAAAAGAAAAAATGGGTGCATATATACATATCCTCTAGATGGCCATGCAGGTAAATTAATATATATGGTCCTCCTTGTGCGAATATGATGTGTACTTTCTTTGTTACAAAAAGGGAAATGCATGTGATGGCATGTTGCATGTTCTCTCTCTCCTTTCCGATTCAAGTGTGTGCCAGCTCCATTAGAATGTTCGATTGACATATACCTCCAGGCCTTTCACTTTCTCTCCAAAGTAGATGCATTTTCTGCATTACAATATCTAGCTTTGCAGGCATTCCACAAAAATCTACCATGCATGGCCAAATCTTTGGTATTTTAAGTATCCACTCCATCACAAGTGGATGCATTTTCTGCATTCCTTTGTAGTACTGCTCAATCCTGGATTTGGCTTAAACTGATTTATATGTATCATTATTGCTAGCAACTTGTGCAACTGATCAGATTGATAAAGTAGTGACTGCTAATTATATTGCAAAGTGAATGGCCAAAATGATTTGATTTTTCTGAAAATTATAGATTAAATATTATATATAGATGGCAAAACTAATGTTACTTGATTTACCTTTCCCCCTCCAAAAAAAATTACTTGATTCTTTCACTTTGAGGAACAAGAATTGAAAAATGGAATAATAATAATAATGACAACAATGATGATGTGCTAGGAACATGTAAAGTCACCACGGGGCTATTAGCCTAGGTGGTATAACTTCACTGGAGAGATGATGGTTCAAGCCCCAAAGTGGGAAGCCTCGGATCCCGTGTAGTAACAACATAGTGCTATAGCACGGCACTGGACGGTTGTAATTATTCATATGTATGGAGCGTTCACACATAAGAGTGATCACTACCGACCCTGTAATTCAACACCTATGTACATGTAGAGATATCTGGACTCATTGTATCTCAAAATTGTAAGAATCATTCAATAAAAGCTTAAATAGTAGCAAGTTCTTTGCAATGGAAAACTAGTTCCATGTAGGGTATTAAAATGAAATATCCATGCATCAATCCAATAACTATTGTTCCAAGTGTTTGCTACAATTGTAAGGCAATATTATATACTTGAAAAATTCTAGATATTCAATCCATTAGGGAGGACGAATATAAAGTACTGTTTCCACTATCAAATATTTCTAAAACTATATCTATATTCTTTCTGGTCATCTAACTTTTGCCTTGTATGTATAGATATATATATATATACATATGTCTTTATGTACGTATATACTAGTCAGTTCCACTGATGATCCCAAACAGGTGAGGTTTATTTTTCTACGACCTTAATTTATTTCCCGTTTAATTAACTTTAGTCACCTCCAGATCATGGCTAGAAAACATGATTAATATGTGGGCCTCTTATATATACTTTATAAAAATGATTCTAATAATAAAAAATTAATGTCTCTTTTGCACTAGTTAGTCCAACTGGTTTGCCAAGAAAGCTGAGCAATAGAAAATATGTCAAAAATATGTATCTCCGTGCTCTCTGTCGTGTGGTTTACTAGTATGCAGAAAGCTCCAAATAAATTAGGGCTTAAAATATTATTTGGCTTCACTGGCTTGAATGAGTGCAGCAGACCAAAACAGCTAGACAGATATGAAGTTGTGAAGTTGGATCATTTGATCTATCAGTTTGAGTCTCACTTCTATATATTAATTGCAAAGCATATATATATATAGAGCATGTTTCCTTCAATGGAAAAGACAATCCTATTAACACTTATCACCTTTAAATAAAAAAATAAAAAAAAAATCTTATTAATCAATATCAAAACAATTGGGATGTTGTATACTGCAAGTTTATACTACTACTTTTTCCATACCCTCCTTTCTATATGTTCTTTGTCTCAAGTTCAATGTTTAATCAAATGCTTAAGTTTCATATGTAATTCTTTATAAATTAGCACTCCATGACTTAGATTTGAAGGAAAAATGATTACAATTCTTGAATATTATGGGTTTTTTGCTTAGTTAATTCCTACAATCTATTATGTTTATATAATGGTCACTCATATTTGAAAAAAAAAATCCAAAATCAATACTTAGTTTAGTACTTATGTAGCCAGAAACAATTTGAGCTATATATATATAAATTTCATACACACCATATAATCCTAAACCAATTATATTAACTAAAAGCAATATGAGTTCATTTTGTTGGGTCATCTTTCAATTAAGCTTCCCAAAACCTCTTTTACAAGTACGATGCCAATTGCTCAAAATTAGAATCATATATATGGCATAAGAAAAAAACTACTAGCTAGAGAAAGAAACAAGAGGGTCAAAACAATTGATTAATTATTCTTGCATGCTTTGACCACACTCAATTTAGTTTCTTGATATATATATATCTCAACTAAAATTACAGGATTCAATTTGTCAATGTGAAAATCAATTATTTTTGTACAATTATACCAACCACAATTAAACACAAACCAAAACCAGATGGTATTGGCAAATTACCATACACACAACCCTCCTCCTCTCTCTCTATGCTTTTACACTAGACACCACCATTAGAAGAAGAAGAAGCAGAAGAAGAAGGCTAAGAAGACTCACCAACTACCTCAGTGTCCACTTCCCTTCTGTGGAAGTTCCTGTGGCAGCCACAAGCGGCACAAGTAAGCGCACCAGGCGTCCCCTCCTCTCCGCTGGCCATGAATTCCCGGCACCCATCAACGGCATACCCTCCTATGTTCGCCGCGTGGTTCTTCTGGCACTCTGCATATCTCACACTCCTCACCATGGAAGAAGTACTAGATGTTCTTCCAGATCCACCCCTTTTAACAACCACTTGACGCTTCTTCATGATGTTTCAGCTCTAAGCCTCTAACCCTAATTTCTCTATCTTTTCTTAGAATTCTTCTAGATGGGGCACCCTCTGACCAGTTTACTGATCCAAAGCACCAGAAGCTGTATATATTATATATATGTGTGTGTGTGTGTTGTGAAGAGAGCTTCAAGAAAAAGTTAGCCTTGAGTGGGTTGATGTACCTTACCCTAATCCCAACATCTATATATGTTGGTGTGTGTGTGTGTGTATATATATATATATAAAATATAATAGTGACTTACCACTAGCCTTATTCAATCATTTTCTTCATTTCCTAGCTTTGGGTTAATTTATTAATAGGGCAAATATTCTATCCAGTGCCCTACTGTCCGGTCCAACTACTCTAACCCGGTCTCCAATCACAGCATGCCACACCACATAATTGTGGCATTTCTGTCATTTTGGCCAATAAAAAATGAAGACTATATATGCTACAAGATTACCTTCATATTTTGACAAAAAAATGGATGAATAAATTAGTCCTCTTCTGGCCTCTTTGGCTTAGTCGTTGGCTTGTTTGGTCATCACTTAGGTCAGGAGTTCCAGAATTAATAGGGTATCCCCAATTGTCTTGTAAGAATGTGAAAAAGATGGGTAGGAAAAGACTGGCTCTTATCCTCACACAGACCATAGGAAAAAAGAAAAAAGAAAAAAAAGAAAAGTTAAAAGAATTAATATTGGTCACTAGAAATGATATTCCAACCGCCTTGGAAGACTTTAAAACCCAACGCTGGCTGTTTTAGCACAATTAGGGCAACAATAGTAGCTAGCTAATTTGATGGGAAAGCTTTGCTTTATGGACAACACTGACTACTGATTGTTAATGCAAAATGATATGTGGGTCCAAAAATGATATTTTAGAGACAGGTTGCTGTGGCCCTTAAAACTGTGTCAACAACCCTTGTCTAAATTACCCAAGATTCTCCAATAACTAAGAGCCCATTGGCCACACTATGTGTACAAAGAAATCAACCTGACTCATCTTCATGACACGACCACAATACATAATTTCATAAGAATTTATATATATATATATATATATATATAACAAAGTTTTTGTGGATGTCTAGTATCTGCGGAAGCACAAGAGAATAGGCGTCCGAAAAAACAATATACACAGAATGCGTAAAATCTAAAAACTAGAACACGCTTAAAACTTAATTTAGAAGAATTGAGTAACTTAAATTTTCTATATATCGACTGAAAACAAAATATCATTAATTAGTGGGACATGATGAAAATGCACAAGTGTCAAAATCACAAGCAATGGTGGACATGGAAAGTGAAATGGAAAATATATAAAATCAAAACCTCATTTTGATTCAAAGGCTGTCACTATATATATATATATCTAACAAAGTTTTTGTGGGTGTTTAGTACTTGTGGGAGCATAAGCAAGAGCCGTACGAGACCGGAATGTGAAAGAAATAAAATTTATATTATACAGAGAAACGAGAATATGTGCGAATTCTAAAAAGTAAAAATTGTGCAAAAAGTCAGAGCAATTAATTTAGAAAAATTGAGTAATTTAGGTTTAGTAGTTATATATTTTAGTAGTTATATATGAAGGACATGAAAACAAAATATCACATGTGGGACATGATGAAAATGCACAAGTGTCAAAATCACAAGCAATATATGGTGGACATGGAAAATGAAATGAAAACTTCAGTTTATAGCACTTCGTTTTTTTTCTTTTCTTTTTTTGAAAAAATAAAAAATCTCAATTCATTTAGTAATTGGATTGCGTGTAGAGTTTATTCAACTGGTTAATGAGTAATGGATGTACCAAATCGTCATCCGAAACCTCCACCAATTGAAGTGAAGACATATGAGTGGGACAAAAGCACACGATTCAATTGTCAATCGCAAAAATGTGAGACAAAGACTTGTGGTGGCTAATCAGGAACGTGTTTGATTGCCATATAATCAATATATAAGATCTACCAGAATCACCTTTAAGTAAATATGCAGCTTAATTATTTTTATTAAATCAGAATCTTAGGTACATGTCAAATTGTGAAGCATCTATACATATAAATCTACACACACTATATGTATATGTAGGTGCAATAAGTCCACTTGACTAAGGAATAACTTATAAGTGAGCTTGCATGCACCATGCAATGAGTTTGCTCTCAAGGCCTATATACACACAACAACAACAACAAAACACACACACACACACATATAAGTATTGCTGCAGGGATATTGCATGCAGTTACATGTTTAATTATCCTTTTCTGGCCCAGCAGTAACCTGTAGCTAAAGCCATTTCAAGGGGAGAAAGAATAATTAACTGTACTAGTGACAGGCTTTGAATCAAAATGGTAGACTTACTATAAAATTTTGGAGGAGCAAAAGAGCACTAGCATTCTTCCCTATAATAGTTGTGTAAGACCAACATTTGTTTCTTCCAGAAAAATTTTAAATTTTAGCTCTATACGTATTAGTTCTTAATTAATTTGTTCAGACATATAATTTTAAATTTTAGCTCTATATATACATATTAGTTCTTAATTAATTTGCTCAGACATATAATTTTACCTCATGTTTATGAATGACTTTCATGCTATTTTTTAGTAAATTATCATTTGAAATCGGGTTCTTACATATATATTTGAAATTAAACTCCAAATTTTTTTTTTTTTTTTTTAGTTAAAAGGATAAGCTTGTATATAGAAAGGGAAGAATGTACATTGTGCCCTAAATAGAGAAGAATGAAAAACTTTAGCAACAAACATCTAAATCCAACATGAGAACAACTACTACAACAACACTTCAACCATGTACACACATCAACACACATCAACAACAACATTCATCAACCATAGCGGCAAGATGGGAGCCACACCAGCAACTGCATCCTTTAGAAGTATTCAATCTGACTACCCTCCCTCCAATTCTTTTAGGATAATAGCCACGACTGTCCACAAGCTGTGGAATTACCCTACAGGAAGAGTAACTGCAGCTATGACATAGAGGAGATTTGCTTCAATTCTGAATTACTTCTAAGCTTGATTATTACAAGTTTGGCTCTAACACAGCTCTTGACTTGAGCTATAATGTGGTGTGATGAGGTTGACTACTCCTAAATGCTCCTGTATTTCTTTCCATCCAAATAAAATATATCGCTGCAGCCCATAACAATTTGTGAACCAAAAAGTTTGGTGAACTCCAATGTGATGAGCACCACTGAATCAACTCTGACCAGCAATTTGGCATAATGTAAAATCCAGCTACCTCTTGGATAAACCTCCATATGTGGGAAGTGAATTCACATTTGAAGAAGAGATGGTCAATAGATTCCCAATCCGAATTACAGAGATAACAACTGTTTGTATAGTGTTTGCGAAAAACTAGTTTAGCATCTAAAGTGTATAATCTACCCCTAACAGCTAGCCATAGGATAAGACTATGTTTTGGTATATGATGCTTGAACCACACTATTTTATGCCAAGGGAAAATTGGGGAGGGAGGGTTGAAGTAGCTTAGGGTATGCGACATTGTGAACACTTTGGTAGGGCTAGGAAACCATTCAGTGAAATCTTGATTGGATGATAGTGAAGGTAGCTGTATTGAGCCTGGTTGGACCCATTGGTCGTTAAAAATTAGGCTATCAACTAAGATGTTGTTATCTAGTTGAAGAATTTCCATACCAGTGAGTCCAAGTTGCTGCACAATTGGACCATTAGGAAGCCAGTAATCCAACCACAGACTAGTATCCTTCCCTGCCCCCACCCTATGCCTTAAGAGCCCTCTTGTCATTGACCTCAACCCAAGCAGCTTCCTCCAAAAACCTGAGCTAAGGGCAGAAGGTTTAACTATCCAAAAGCTATTTACCTTTATGAGATAGCTAAGGGACCAAGCCACCCAAAGACTATCCTTCTTTAAGCAAACCTTCCAAATCTGTTTCAGATTTATAATTCTGTTAGCCAACTCCAAATCAGGGAAACAAAAACCTACATTAGCTCTTGATCTGCAAATGGCTTGCCAAGCAACCTTAGCTCCCTTGTTCTTTAAATCCACCCAAGTCTAGAAAAAACTTCTTAGTACTTGGTTAATCTGCTCCATAACCTTGTTTGGAAGCACAAATGCCTGTGACCAATAAGCTTGAATAGAACAAAGGACAAATTTAATAAGAATAACCCTCCCACATAAGATAGAAATTTTGATGTCCAACATCCCACTCTGGCAGTAATCTTTTTCACAAGAGTTTAACAGTCCCTTGCCTTGATTGAAGTAGATGATAGAGGTAGACCTAAGTACATAACAGGAAGTGAACCAACTTCAAATTTGAGTAGAGCTAAAATGACAGCCTTTAAAGCATTGTCAACCTTTAAAAAGAACACTTTGCACTTTGCTTTATTAAGATGTAGAACACAATTATTGAAAAATTGGTTTAAAGCTTCCATCAACACCTGGACTAAGGACAAGTTAGCATAGAAGAACATCATAATGTCATCTGCAAATGTGAGATGGGTGATTAACAGCTTCTTGCATCTCCAATGGAACTTGAACATAGGATTACTCTCAATGTGGCTATTAACACATAATGTCAACACCTCTATTGCAATGACAAACAACATAGGAGATAAGGGATCACCTTGTCTAATACCTCTCTTTCCTTTGAAAAATCCAAACAGCTCCACATTGAGAGAGATGGAAAATGATGGGGTAGTTATACACTATTGAATCAAAAGCCTTCATTAAATCAATCTTGAGTGCACAATTTGAGGGATGGTTAGCCCTATGATAACCATTCAATAATTCATGAGTTAAGATGATGTTATCTGAAATATGTCTACCTTTTATAAAATCATTTTGAGTATGGATGATAAGAAGGGAAAGTACAGGTCCTAGTTTAATGGCAATAAGTTTAGATATGGTTTTATAGATAAGGTTACAACAAGATATAGGCCTTAAGTCATTTACTGATGAAGGGTTTGGGGTTTTGGGCACCAAAGCAATGTATGAACAATTAATTTCAGTCAACATTCTCTCGGAGATGAAGAAATCCCTAACAGCAGCTATGACATCTTGCCTAATAATTGGCCAAAAGTGTTTGAAAAAATATGAGTTGAATCCATCAGGTCCATGACTTTTATAGAGATGAAATGAGAGTATGTAAAATTGAATTTCTAAGTCTGTGGGAATAGCTGTGAGTGAAGGAAGAAGATGGGTAGGAACAGACTTAGAAATGACTAAGGAGAAAGAATTCATA